ACCATTTTCTTTACTAAAGAACCCTTGATGGACCATCTTATTAAAGAGTGTAGTTTGCATTGTAGTCCCTGGAGTTGCTGAATAATAAGCTGTAATATGTAATAAGCCTGGGATTTTAGGGGGTTAAAGCTTGAAGAACCTCCATATAATGTAAAGGTTCTGCACAAATTAAGGGTTTTCCCTACAGAACTGTCCAGCCAAGCCAAAAACCAGAGGAACCTATATATATTTATTTTTTTAAACAGTTTGTTTGCATAATAAGCTGCTTCACATTTACAAGCAGTTTGCACCGTGTTTGCGCTGCATATGTTGATTATGACAAATTAAAAAAAGAAGCTGCATAATTTGCATGAAAATTAATAATCAAGGTCATGTCCAATCACCCTGCAAAAGCAAGTGGTGCGTTACTTAAACAAGCGACATCCAACCCAGCTGCACTGTTCAAGCTTTCAGGTGCCTCTCAGTATTTCAGCTTGAGCCTCCACATCAGCTTGATTAGCCGTGCCAGTTAGAGGCCGCAATCACTCCCCTCTATAATAATCACTCCGCTCTATAACAATCACTCCGCTCTGTAACAATCACTCCGCTCTGTAATAATCACTCCCCTCTATAATAATCACTCCGCTCTGTAATAATCACTCCGCTCTATAATAATCACTCCCCTCTATAACAATCACTCCGCTCTGTAATAATCACTCCGCTCTATAACAATCACTCCGCTCTATAACAATCACTCCCCTCTGTAACAATCACTCCCCTCTATAACAATCACTCCGCTCTGTAATAATCACTCCGCTCTATAACAATCACTCCGCTCTATAACAATCACACCCCTCGATAACAATCACGCCGCTCTATAACAATCAGTCCCCTCTATAACAATCACTCCACTCTGTAACAATCAGTCCCCTCTATAACAATCACTCCCCTCTGTAATAAACACTCCGCTCTATAACAATCACTCCGCTCTATAACAATCACTCCGCTCTGTAATAATCACTCCCCTCTGTAATAAACACTCCGCTCTATAACAATCACTCCGCTCTATAACAATCACTCCCCTCTGTAACAATCACTCCCCTCTATAACAATCACTCCGCTCTGTAATAATCACTCCGCTCTATAACAATCACTCCGCTCTATAACAATCACACCCCTCGATAACAATCACGCCGCTCTATAACAATCAGTCCCCTCTATAACAATCACTCCACTCTGTAACAATCAGTCCCCTCTATAACAATCAGTCCCCTCTGTAATAAACACTCCGCTCTATAACAATCACGCCGCTCTATAACAATCAGTCCCCTCTATAACAATCACTCCCCTCTGTAATAAACACTCCGCTCTATAACAATCACTCCGCTCTATAACAATCACTCCGCTCTGTAACAATCAGTCCCCTCTATAACAATCACTCCGCTCTGTAACAATCACTCCGCTCTATAACAATCACTCCCCTCTATCACAATCATTCCGGTCTATAACAATCACTCCCCTCTATCACAATCATTCCGCTCTATAACAATCATTCCGGGCTATAACAATCACTCCGCTCTATAACAATCACTCCCCTCTATCACAATCATTCCGCTCTATAACAATCATTCCGGTCTATAACAATCACTCCCCTCTATCACAATCACTCCGCTCTACAACAATCACTCCCCTCTATCACAATCATTCCGCTCTATAACAATCATTCCGGGTCTATAACAATCACTCCCCTCTATCACAATCATTCCGCTTTATAACAATCATTCCGCTCTATAACAATCACTCCGCTCTATAACAATCACTCCGTTCTATCACAATCATTCCGCTCTATAACAATCACTCCCCTCTATCACAATCATTCCGCTCTATAACAATCACTCCCCTCTATCACAATCATTCCGCTCTATAACAATCATTCCGCTCTATAACAATCATTCCGGTCTATAACAATCACTCCGCTCTATAACAATCACTCCGCTCTATCACAATCATTCCGCTCTATAACAATCACTCCCCTCTATCACAATCATTCCGCTCTATAACAATCACTCCGCTCTATAACAATCACTCCGCTCAATCACTCCGCTCTATCACAATCACTCCCCTCTATCACAATCATTCCGCTCTATAACAATCATTCCGCTCTATAACAATCACTCCGTTCTATCACAATCATTCCGCTCTATAACAATCACTCCCCTCTATCACAATCATTCCGCTCTATAACTATCACTCCCCTCTATCACAATCATTCCGCTCTATCACAATCACTCCCCTCTATCACAATCATTCCGCTCTATAACAATCACTCCGCTCTATAACAATCACTCCGTTCTATCACAATCATTCCGCTCTATAACAATCACTCCCCTCTATCACAATCATTCCGCTCTATAACAATCACTCCGCTCTATAACAATCACTCCGCTCAATCACTCCGCTCTATCACAATCACTCCCCTCTATCACAATCATTCCGCTCTATAACAATCATTCCGCTCTATAACAATCACTCCGCTCTATCACAATCATTCCGCTCTATAACAATCATTCCGCTCTATAACAATCACTCCCCTCTATCACAATCATTCCGCTCTATAACAATCATTCCGCTCTATAACAATCACTCCGTTCTATCACAATCATTCCGCTCTATAACAATCACTCCGCTCTATAACAATCACTCCCCTCTATCACAATCATTCCGCTCTATAACAATCATTCCGCTCTATAACAATCACTCCGTTCTATCACAATCATTCCGCTCTATAACAATCATTCCGCTCTATAACAATCACTCCCCTCTATCACAATCATTCCGCTCTATAATTATCACTCCCCTCTATAATTATCACTCCCCTCTGTAACAATCACTCCACTCACTCCACTCTATAACAATCACTCCGCTCTTTATCAGAGTGCAAAGAGAACCACTTCAGCAGCTCCATTCACATTACCACACGGCACAGCAGCCTAACATCATGCTTCTTAGCATCATATACTAAACCGGCACTGTGATGTAACAGAGTGATGTCACATCCCGCAGACAGTGGTCGGCTGGCACCCGAAACCAACCAACATCACAAAGCCGAGGCATCATGGCGTCGCCGACAAGGAATCAAATTCAACTCCCCACACCCCCCTTACACCCCCGCCTCAATCCAAGCCAGGACAGGACCTGCCCCCCTGCGCACCGGGATGCGCAGGCGCAGTTCCGCACTGGGGGAACTAAGAGGGAAGGGCGTGAAAAAAGACGGGCCACGGGACGGGACGCCCAGCGGCCATGTTTAAAAACCAGCCCACTCGCACACAGGACGCAACAACAGAGCCAACGACCCACGCAGGATGACTTAAGACGGGAAAACAAAATGTTTTTTTTTGGTTTTCTGCATCTTTACATTCTTTCCCACCTAGAAAATGCTTCTACTTATAGTTAGCCTAACAATAATAATAATAATAATAATAATAATAATAATAATAATAGCACATTAAGTCAAACTGTGTTAAACTAACTAGATGGAGAGTCATTTATAGACCTGTCTTATGGTATTACCACACTGCTCTGCTGTATCCAACAGAAAAAGCTAAATTTCTTTACCCACAACTGAGCAGTTCTAAGCCACAATACAACATCAAAGGGAAACCTTTTCTAGATTTCTGCATAATTACATGGTTGAGATGTAAACAGAGTCATTCAGAGTGTTTTGGTGTGAAAAACTTGCCGAGTCAGAATTGTTCAAAGTTGTGGTGATAGGAACCAGACGTCTGAAGAGTTTAACGCCTCCCTCACAGAAAGTTATTACACAGAATGGTTATGAATGCACTGCTTTATGTCTGAGACACTGTTTTATGATAGTTTTGAGATGAGGAGCTTTTTTAAACATTCATGATGGAGAGTTATTTTACACAGCACTGTGTAAATAAAATGGGTATATTTTTGGTTCCTATCAGTGTAAAAAAATGAATGAATTAATTAATAAACAAAAAAAAACAATCAGTCTGTAAGTTTCTCTACATTGAACATCACTGTTTACATCTCGACAAGTGAATTATGCAGAAAGCTGTTAGGAGTATGGATGCATGATGACGTTGGAATCACATTAGTACTGGCTGATAAATGTACTGTGTTTTTTTTCCTTTTGTTTGGTTAAATTGGCCTCAGACTGATCTTTAGATCTGACCAATACTTTAAAAAGGTTTTTGATGCATTTACTGTATCGTGGAACAACAGTACTGAGCCACTGTGCTAAAACCTCTGCATGAATCATTTTACTGCATCAACAAATAAAGGTTGCTTTTCTCTATAATTTGAATCCAAGCAGATTTAGTCCCAATTTCTAAATTTTATAAATGTTTATGTATGTATGGCACAAGCTTCGACAAATATGCACACGGAAAATGGACTATATAGGCCCAGAATTCCAAACAGGCGCATATCCTAGTTAAAATAACACTGAAATTCCACTTTAAACAGTGAATACTGAAATTGCACACATAGTTAAACAACACAGTAAACCTAAACTGCTCAAAATGTCTTCTAAATCATATAAATCAAGTGAATTTTACTCTGTATGCAATGTTATGAACCATACAGAACTACTGTGGGTTTTTTACACGGCTTCCAAACTGCTTAATTTCAAAATATATTAATATTTGAAATACAATTCGAATGTGGATTTACAAATTATACTGAATTAAACTCCTCTTGGGAGAGTTCAGGCTATATCGCATAGACTTAGACATGTTTGTTACTTGGTACATTTCTCTAACAGGTAAACTGAAAGGTTTATCAATTAAGAAAAACAACAAAGCACAAAATTTAAAAAAAAATAAATAAATAAAAATAGCAATAGACATTGTCTATCCACCCAAAAACATCTTAAAAGCACACTTAAGGTTAAAACTAAGGTTATAATGCATGCAAAAACATCAATGTTCAATTGCTTTTCATTTTTCTTGAGCAACTATAGAATTAAATGTCCAAATAAAGAGGAAAAAGTCATGTTCCATTTAGAAAAACACTTTATTATCCATTATGAAAATATTACAACTCAAAATTAGAATAGAATAGAATCTTATAAAAACATTTTTTTGCTATTTATTAATTTATTTCAATTCTAGTATTTATCTGGTCCACGGTTACCATTCAGGTTCTTTGGGCGTTCTCCAGCAGACGGGTATGTAACACTACAGCTCACCATGCTGGAATACACTGCTTTTACAGTGACCTAAGTATAAAACACAACAAGATTCTTGGTTTTACTAAAACAAAACATACAACACAGACTAACAACAGCACAAGAGCTTTGGGTTACGCTTGCATAGAAACAAGCAGTAAATATGAGCTTCTAACACAACTAATGCCTTCCTTAATAACAAAACAAGCAGAACCCTGCATTTCGAAGCACCGTGGCTGCTCTGTGCATGTAAAAAGCTTTCAATCTCTTTCATCTGTGCTGCTGTCTGCGGAGCCAAATCCTCGGCACAGTTGACGCAGGGTTAAAACAAAATGGCGGCATTAAAGAGTGGGGGCTCATACGGTGGGCTAGAAGACAGATTTAGAGATCACCAAGCATTTCCGTCTCAGTCTGAGATGCAAGAATACTAAACGACTCAAGTCTCAGAGCAGATATGATTCAATAATAAAACAAACAAGCACTTAAATGTAGTTGCAGGCTGTTCACTAAGCACTTTGACACTCAATACTGGAACAGACTCCGAATAAAAGGAACGCCGTACTGATATGCAAGCACTAAGGATGGGCAATAAAACAATGAGTACGCTGATTTTTTTAATTCAGTGTAGGCAAAAATGCTGTTTAACCTCGCACCCTGTTGCCTCAGGGCAACAAACCCATTTTTCTCACTCTACAAAGCAGTGATACATATTTAATGCCAAAGAAAGGGTTAATTATGAAGCGAAAAGTTTGAATGAACCAAAAAAAAAAAAAAGGTCTTTGTAGGTCACTTGTAGTAAAAAGTTTGTAGTAGGTCTCTTGTTGGGCATACATGTCTTTTTTTTAATGGCACAGCTTGTAAATGACGTTTTAGCATCGTACAATTTCAAGCTCTCACATTTTTTATCCATCAAATAATATGATTCACGTTTGTTAGATTCTCAAGTTCATCTTATAACATTTAGTATCATATAAATAATTATGTTATTTAAAAATTCTCTAATTTAGGATTGTTGCCCAGAAGCAACATTGTGCAACAGTGGACTGGATTTACTCAAATAGCAAGTTATTGCTCAGTTGTTCCCTTTTAGAATTTATTTTTATTTAGAATTATTATTTATTTATTTTTTTTGTTTTAAGATTAATGTGTATGCACCTTTAGTGGCTGAAATCTCATTAAAATCAATTCGGCCATGTAGCAGTCGGTATGCATTAGATTCTACTAATGTCATTATAATTTGTGTTTAGACAATGAAAGCCAATTCTGACCACTTAAAAATTACTTTTTTTAGTTTTTTTTGTGGTTTTAACTTGCAAGTGGGGTTTTAAATAATTGTTAGGTAAGTAGGTATGCATGCATTGTGGTAATGTGGTTTCACTGGAAACAGCATGAAACAGAATTGTTCTCTCCCTTATTGCATGAACAGTAAGTACGTAAATATCAAAAAATTGTGCAGTTACTCTGTTTAGATCTAAATATTTAGATTAGAAAGATAAAATCCTTTTCCTGATTTCTGATCTGTCTATTCTTTCAATTGCTGCATTAAGTTACCTCAAGGCAACAAATGCCAAAAGGCACGCAATATTTAAAAAAGTTTTTATTTTAGTAAATCCTGTCCATTTATGTAAAAAAACATTTTTTTAATGGCTCATAATTTTTTAACTCATAATTGGGTGCAACAGCAGGTTAAGAAGGAAAAAAAAAAACGATCAGTAAATATAAATTAATATAATAAGATTACGGTATAATGTGCTGTTATCAAATCAGCTACTTATTTTCTGGTATATGCAGTTATTATACACTATAAACAGCAACAACAACATAATTTCATATTATATAATTACTATAATCTGCCCATGTGGTTCAGTGCTCTAGAAATACTAACGATGCCTGATAAACACTCATAAAAACCCACTGCGACGTGATTTATCACAATATTGTGAACACATCGTCATATTGCCCATCCCTAGACAACACAATCTTAATGTAGCCTTGAGACTCTAAAAATTAACCACAGTATCTCAGATACTGGTGCAGCCCAAATGCACACTTACTCTAATGTCAATCTCAGCGCATCGAGGCTTTTTGTTTAAGAGCTTAGTGCTCACGCTAGAAGAATGGGGTGAAGTGAGGCAGCAGTATTAGTGTTCGTACCTGATACTTCACTGCACAACTTCAGAGCCACATGCTCCTCTTCACGGGTGAACAGAGAGATGATATCCTCCTCCAACTCCTCCACAATTGTTTCACACTGCAAGAGACAGGAGCAGTGGAGAGTTAGCTGCCTACCACAGAGAGCGAATGGTCACAGACTACGTAAAACACTTCCTAACGTCCTAAACAACGTTTAAACATGAGCTGGCAGCCATCTTTAGCAACCTACCATTGACAGGTTGGCTGCCATCTTGAAAAGCTCACAAGGCAGTAGCATGGTCATTTATATATTAGTACTGAAATACTTATGAATTAGGTTATAATGATTTTTTAATGGATTATTACACTTATACTGGTTAACGGCAGTTCATAAGGCTTATTATACAGGAAAAAACTGGCAGAAATGGTGGGTAAGTATTCATGAGGATTTAGATATTATTTACAAAGAGCATGGTGTCAACTCTGTAACATTATACCAATATACATGTTTGAACAATTGCAATTCATCCTAAATTGCTGCACTGTAGCTGTTCATTACCACTGTGATAGTGATGCATTATTCAAAAATGAAGAGCAAAAGTTAAGAAAGTATTTCGGAGAAGTACTTGAAATCGTGACGTAGCAATTTTCCACCTTTTATAATTATTATTCAGTAAATATCTGCACTACAATGCTAACTTACAAAAGTGTGTAATGAAGTTTGGACCTGCCAGCAGTTACTGGCCATTTGAGGGGTTATATCCAAAAGCATTTAGTGGACAAAACAAGTCTTTCCATGTTTTACAAGCAAACTAAAATGGCTGATGTGTAAGAAACCAAAAATAAAGAAATAAGTAAAATAAAATTGTGTTCTATCGCTTTTTCAAACTCTTCAATTTCAGTTTAAACTTACAACCAAGGAAAGAGAAAAACACGTAAATAGCACATTAAATAAAGTACTCACAGCAAATTTCAAGGAATCGGAGCCCTCTGGTCCGGCAAATTTAAAATTTTTGAAATCCGGAAAATTCCCGCCATCGCTGCTTCTCGGGGCGAACCTCTTGTAGCTCTGCTCTTTGGTGTCGGGGTCCTCGTAGAGCGCATAGTCACTCATGTTATTGCAAACTCCATCCAGCAGCTCGGACAGGTGCGTCTCTGACCTCGCAAGCGGAACCTAGCGGAGTAGAATTAGTGTTAAATTAATTAATTGCAAAATTTTCTCCATTCAAAATTATTTTAATTTTTAAAAATTGGCCCCCCCCTTAAAAAAAACTTTCATAATGGAAGGGCATCCAGGTCGTGTTGATGACCTTTTTTCCTTCCGTTCTCTTAAAAAGAAGCGGAGGGGGGAAACAAAAAACAAAAACTGCCCCAGCGCCGCTACCGCTGACTTTTAACCTGCGTGTCTAAAGTTGGAGAACGCAGGTCCCCTTGCCTTGGCAACAGAACAAAACCACACAGTGGCGTCTAGACAGGTCAAGGTGCACCCCTGCACCCGCCCTCGTGGCCTCCCCCGGAAGGGGAAAGGGGACGAGGGCGCCCGGAGGGGGGGTGGGCGGCCTGTAACAGAATGGGGCGCGGGGCGGGGGGTAAAAGGGGGGTAAGCAGTGGGGTGGGGGAAGTTGTCAACAGCAGCCAAGTGCAGGGTAAAGCAGGGTAAACAGCGCAGAGTCATCCTTGTGCTCCTCCTGGGCCGATCCCTCTCTTCCACCCTCCGCTGATCAAAGCAGGAAGTTTTCCCCTGTCAGATCACTGAAAGGGTAGCAGGGGGGAGGAGGGGGGTTAAATTGGGAGGAGGGGATAGAAGGAGAAGGAGCCGCAGCAGAAGTGGAGAAGGGCAGGTTGCAGATGAGCTGGATTTGGTGCTGGATGTAGATATATGCCCTGACCCCTCTGCCCCCTTTCAAACACAGTATGGACCCTTCCGGTCTCGCTCATTACATTATGGAGGCACTTCTTTTATTTGCACCCCCCCTTCTTTTTTTTTTGTCCTCCTCCGAGGCTCCAGGACACAAAGAGGCTTCCGTGGCTCACCGCCATCTGGTCACGAATAAGACAAAAGGTTCTATGGAAGGAGAAGCGACCCGTCCACGCATCCCTCCCTGTTTTTTTAATTAAAAGGCGGTGGGTTGAACACGCAGAGAGAGATAAGACAGGATACAATCAACTTTGGGCAAATCTAGATTGAGAATTAGAATTAAGAGACCACTGCCTCGAGTAGCATCAGAGGATAGTAATTACCGAACATAAAAATGAGTAAATAAATAAATAAATAGAGATTATTGGCATCAAACAATGCGTCGGAAACACAAGGCCAGAGTTTGAATCGCCTTCAGCAAAAGAAAGAAAACAGTCCAAATCTTGGCCAATTATGCACTGAACTCATTAAACTGGACAAAACACAAAACAGCAGAACAGGTTAAAAAAGTAAACAAATAAATATAAAAATAAATAAACAAATAAATACATTTTAAGGCAAATAAAAACTTCCCTCTGGATCTCAGGCTTGGCTTCTGTGCTGCATCCTCTTGCCTAGTGCTTATCATGCAATCCTGAAAATGGGGAATTAAATTCCTACCCGTAACAGTCTGAGGGGTTTGAATAGGACCTGTCAATAAAGAATTTCTGCTGGAATAAAGGAGGAGGGGGGGCTCGAAAGCGCAGCAAGAGAAAAGGCTTCTCAGGGATGCCATCCTCCACTGACTCTCCATTGGAACCAGCATTGAAGGTTTAGAGGAGCAGGTAGTCAATATATGTGGCCTTAAAAAAAAACAGCAGCCTACAAAATAGTCCAAAATTTAAAAAAAAGAAGATAAATAGAAACAGCTGGACTTCTGTAAACAAAGCTCACATTACAAACCTGAAATAGATCAGCGAGTTGGGTCACATTTAACAGAGTAAACAGAGTAAGGTCATCTTTGGCGAATATGCTAAGATTATCACTGAGGGACCCCTTAAACAGGCTTCAGGCCAAGAGAATGAAGCCCCCTGTGGTTGCAGCAGTAATTAATGTTTGTTTTTAAATGAAGCAGAGCTGCACAATAATAGAATTATAATAGATTACGAACCGATAACGTGATCCTGGATTCTGTTCAATCTACGAATCGTGAACAAACCATGTTCAAGCTATAAAGCTTATTTATAAGTTGGCAAATCACAATCAGAAGACAATTGAAATCACCTGCAAGGGCCATTTTAAATCAAATATGTTCATCTGCACTGAAAAAAATCACAGGTGCTGCACTGATTTTTCAATATGTCTCCATAACACAATCACTAAGATGTAAACAAAGTCATTCAGAGTAATGTAAACACAGTGCTGGTGATAGGAACCAGACGTCAATCCCTATAAAAGCTACCACACAGAACATTATTACACTAGATGGTTTCAAACATTGTCTGATGCCTGAAATGTTGTCTTATAATAGTTCTAAGATAAAGTTTTGGCCTAACACATAATTTTAAAGTCCTTTTCTGGTGGTGGGGTACATGCGGGGTGTTGTAAACATAATCCCCCCAAAAAACTACTTTTTTTCAGATTTACCACTATTTAACCAGCACTACATATAAAAACTCACATGACACATAGGTTCACGTGTCATTTTGGATAGTAAATAAAAAGGCTATACTTGTGTTGTAAACATCGCAACCCCTGGTTCCCATCACCACCACTGTAACCAGTATGCATGACTTTGTTTACATCTCAAACATTGAATTATGCAAAAAATTTTGAAAAATTGGTGGAATTCCCCTTTAACTATTGTACACCTCAGTGCTTTCAAAGACAATACAATAAACACCCTGACTCTATGCACTTTAAAACTGACCAGAACTGTCTGTTCTGGGCTTTGTACTTAAATGTGTCACTCAATGTCGCTCATTCTTGGCCATTTCTGTCTGTTTTGATGGTGTCAACATGAATGTCAGCCAATTTCAGACTCTGTTGAGCTATTCAGCGATTTTTTGTCTGTCCTATGTAACGTAAACAAGCCCGGTTTGACTTTCACACGCAACGGCTAAAAGCCAGAGCTTTCTCAGCTAGAGTAAACACTTGTTATTAGTCAGTGGGTACAATCAAAAGGAGATTAACCCCCAATCAATAGGAGAGTCAGCCACCTAATGACGGTCCCTGGATAGCAGGGGTCAGGGCTTTGAGTTCATTGGGTCTGACCTTTAAATACTGACACCACAGTTAAGGAGGAAACAGTTAAAACTGTCCCCTTTAGCCAAGCAAGCATTACGAGCCCGTCGAAGCCTCAAACATCTGCAAAGAGGCACAGGAGTGAGGGTAATGTTACACAGGGCTTACCTTTTTTTTTAAGGAGAGGTTGTCCCTCGGAGATCAAAAATAAATAAATAAATAAATCAAGGGCACAGTCCAAAATGCACAAATATTTATAGAAACTGTCAAATATATAGAGGCACTTTCAAGACATTTAGCTGTTAACAATAAACACTATATTGAAAAATTTTGGCACAGCCAAAAAGTTAGGGGAGTTTTTTTTTAATGTAGGGGAGCAGTTAAAAAAAGTAGATGAACAGTGAAAGATGTAGGTGAACAGTTCAAAAAACGTAGGAGGAACAGTGATGAACGTGGTGACTCAGTCAAAAAGTTAATTAGACGCACATTCAAGAAACTTATGGGAAAAGTAAAAAATAAATAAATAAAGGAGTAAAACCAAAAATTTAGAGGAACAGTCAAAACTGAAAAAAAAAAATATATAATAATAAAAATAAGGGGCACTGCCAAAAATTTAGGGGAAGACTGCAAAAAATGTAGGGGAACAGTCAAAATTTCAATGTCAGTCAAAAATTTTTTCAAAGTAATTTTTTAAAAAGATCATAACGGTAATGCAGCACTATTTTAAAATGACACCTCTTTTGTAACGCGCTAACCTTTCTATTTTTTCCTAATTGGCTTGGAAGGAATTGGATGAAATCAGCCAACTGTGATGTAAACTGTAACAGACACAGCTTTGCTGCATCAGGGAGGAGATTTATTCTCAAACGTCCATCGCTATCGTAAGGAAATCTATTATCCCCAAAAGGGTAACTTTACAGGCGATGAAAAATAATGTTCTCGACTTTAATGTATGTTAAATTTTATTTGAATTACGGACTCATCATGAAACGTTCACGCAATGTGAAGAGCAGCTGGTGTCTCAAATGGTGTTTAAAAAAAATTAAATTAATAAAAATAAAAAAATGACATGGTTTTGAATGACAGCAATGATGTACTAGTTCTAAATTTTCAGTTGGGTATTAAAGGTCACTTGCATAATTCTTTAATATGCACAGAGTAATGTTCACTGATTCGCTTTCAGTGTACAGATCTGGTTACAGCTCACGACACAACACAATCACTCATCATTTAACCAGAGAGGAAGGCTCATTCCAGAGCCAGATACAGTGTAACCTTAAAGCAGGTCTTTGAATAAAGGCAGATGATTTTCAGAAACTGCTACTCGTTCTGCACCGCAGGGCCATCAGAGCCTTCACCAACAACAAATACCACTGATTTACACCAAGCATGTAAATGATACCAGGCTGAAATAATTGCGCCATTTTCTGAGTCGAAAGTGAAACGACCTCTTTGGTTGCGGTCAAAGTTTGCCGAAATGTTTATGAATTTGGCCCTGCTTCTCTCCTATCGATGAACCACAACCTCTGAACTCCTGCAGTGATGGGAGTCATTACTGTAAAAACAGTGGGGAGGGGTTAGGTCCGCCGAGGACTTTCAACAGAAAATGCTTCCAAAAGCTGCCAAACTTTTTTGGCTCTGTCTACGAGGGGAAAAAAAAATGGAAAGATCAAGGTAAGTTCAACAATATTTGTGCATTCATGAGCTTATGTTCTGCATACATGCTTCTCACAGTGGTGCAATAACACCAAGTCATTTAGAAGTTTGGCCTCTCGCTCATTCCAGCTGAGCTTAATTTCATTACAGCAGGAAAAATGTGATATGGCTAGACTGGGATATTGACTGGAATATTTCTGATTTGAATAGCTTTGATGTTATGCTTGGTATACTTCACAATAAAAACACCCTAAAGCTTTAGGAATAGCTCCTAAAAATACATCCTAAAATAATTAATAAGCATAGTACATATATAAAAATGGCAACAATGGCCTGTTGCTTGCCAAATAGTGACCCCACATTCATCTACAGTTGCAAGGGTATGCAAAAGTTTGAATATTTCTATTTATTTTCTGAATTCAACATATTGGGGGGGGGGAAGTAAACACAAGTGCTATAACTTTTGCACAGCCACATTATGTTTTTTTCCCAGCCTGATATTTTAAATTCAGCAAAGAAACAGTGATTGTGCATTAAACTTAACTGATTTTTCACTTAGAAGAAAAATTTAAACACATTATTTGACTGGGGCGCCCAAACTCTTGCATGCATCTGTATACTGTTAAACCTCAGATCTTACTGGCTACTCTGTTTTCTCCATCAGCTTCATCAAATATTTATATTCATGTGTTATAACAGCTTATTAATGATTCATTTTTAGGCGCTTGACCTCATTAATAACCCTTGGTCATTTTAAACTATTTATAAGTCAGCATTGAAGATAAGATCATTAAATTAGTACATTTGACAAAAGCAATAGCCTTCATGGTCCCACAGCGGCAGCAGGCTGTTTGAACAGGAGGCCACATCACCTACTCTGGTCAAAAAGGCCACTTTCACCAGTATAACAGAAATATCATGAGGCAGAAAACAGAAACCAGTCCATAAAGCAGCGTTTGGCACTGATATTAGCTGTTAAACACAGATTTTAAAACCCAACATGAATTTGAAATTGTATGTTTCTTCCATATCGTGACGTTTTCTGAGTGAAGCAGTATCAGGGAGGGGCTCTGAGCTAGCTGAGCATCATCTCTAAATGATAGGTGGGGGAGGGGAAGCGTGATATTATTGGCCGACATTATTTTCCCGCCCACTGGTGCATGATGATGTAAGACGTTTCAGACGCAAGTAAGTCAATTCAATTCAAACAAACTCGTTCAGAGGGGTTTGATAGGAAATGCTCTGTTTTAGAGAACCTTACTGAGTCATCGTTCACAGTGGTGGTGATAGGAACCAGACGTCCACCTCTAAAAGCATTCCTGAAACATAGTTCTGCGACGATTATGTCCTGAAGGGATACATGCAGGGTAAAATAGCGCCGAAGAAAACGTGAAAAAAATAAATAAATACAAATTTTACCACTATTTTTCCATCATCAACATTACATATCGCTGCTGTTGGAACAAAACCTTGTATCTCCAAAGTTGTTAACTTTACAGGAGAAGGAAAAAACATTCTTTTGAATGGAAGTTAATGGAACTACATTTTTTCCAAGCACTTTTGGAGCATTTCCGGTGGTCCGTTCATCATGAAATTTTGGCACATTGTAAAAATCGGCTGGCATTTTCAAAGTATGAAACTACAACAACAAAAAAATGGAGATATGAGGTTTTGTTCCGACAGCAGCGATATATAAAGAAGACGTGTTGGGTTCGCTGGTTATTTTGGATAATAAATAAAATGGCTATATTTATGCTGTAGATGTCACGTCCCCTGGTTCCCATCATCACCACTAAAGAAATCAGAGTCAGTTCGTTTCTCTACAATGACTAATTTCACATAAAAACACTGAATGACTGTTTACAGCTCAACAACTGAATTATGCAGAAATGCCCCTTTAAACCTGTTAGGAGTAGAGATGCTCGATGGTACTGGAATCATATGAGCATCAGCTGATAAATGCTCAAAAGTTTTATATATTATTTTTTCCAATATGCATTGGACTGATATTTAGATTTGACCAATAAACCGATATTTGATGGTGCATTTATTGTATCGTGGAAGAACGATGTGTTTTGGCAACCCTCTGAATCTCATTCATTTTACTGCGTTTGTCAGCCTTTCACAAATAAAGGTTACATTCCTCTACAATTTGAATCCAAGTGGATTTAGTATCAATTTCTACTTCGTATAAGTATGTATGACATCAGGATCTATAGATCTATAGACAAAAATATCAGATAAAGGCCCAGAACTCCCATATTAATGCATCCCAAGTTAGAATTACACTGAAATTCTAATATGAACTGTGAATACTGAAACTGCACCTATAGATGAATAAAATAACCTAAACTGCTCAAAATGTCTTATAACTTCTGATTCCTATTACTACTGTAAAATCCGGGTCGATACATTTCTCTACAATGAACCACTGCACATAAAAACACCCCGAACGACTGTTTTCATCTTAACGAGGAGATGGAATCGTGTACATTTTGGGATTCCAAAAAAAATATGAACTTCTTCTTCTTTAATATAATAGCTTTACTTAAAAGGGCATATGAAGAAGAATTAAATCTTGAAAATGACAGCTGCTACTACCACACTAAATCCAAATTTTTAGATCCCAAACACTTTTTTGGAGCAGTTTTTAAATACGTTATTTTGCTCCATCTAAGAATGACCTGAGCGAAAACCTAAAAAGGTTCTCAAACAGGAGAACTAAACACTGCGAGACCTTTAAAAAGTGCTCCAGAAAAGTCTAAACACTCGCATTTACAGTGTAGTAGCAGCAGTATATGTAAAACACCTCTAGTAGAGTGCCAAAATGCTAAAACACCCCTCCGGCAGCATGCTTGAGGATTCCAGTGTGCGGCTGAGGTGCTGTGGCAGTGCAACTTACCGTTTTTTCAGTCATACTGCCATCAGGGTTGAGCCTGAACCCTCCAACGTTGACTGTCTTTTTCGGATCAATCTGGCCGATTGAGTAGTTGAGCTCGTCTGCGATGGCGATGCAGGCTAGAGGAGATGGAAGATCGTTGCAGTTTGCTTAATTGCTTCACAGTGCATTGGCAGCGGAGAAAAGAAACCGAATAAGTGAAATAAAATCAGAAAATTAAGATCTAGAGGTAGATTTGCGCAGAGGCTAACAGCAGGGTGCTTGGTGAGGTCGCTAAAATTCACCAACAGACTGGCAACGGTTGGCATCTTGATGCAAACAGCATTCAGAACATACTATACTGGTCATCAAGAATCAATTAGAAGGGCAGAAGGTCAGGAAAAACACTCAGCAACCTTTTATAGAAAGAAATGTTTACAATAATTATGTTTAACTGAAAGAAAACAGCACCAAACAGAATAATGAGGGGAAAAAATAGTGACTTGACTCCTATAAATAAATAAATAAATAAATAAATAAATAAATCCACTGGTGTAAGTTCTTGCTGAAACGCTGGGCTTGAGTTTGCTAGTGCTTAGTCATGCTTGATACATCTCCATGGTAACTGCCAGGCTTGGGCGGCGCTTAAAACAGCCTTTATCTGGGCTGAGCTTTCGGCCTCCTTGAATGCTCTAGTGTTTGATGCTAGCTTTGTAACTGCAGCCCACAGCAGAATTATCGTCCATCCACTGAAGAAAGCAGCAGCACAAACGATTACAGTGCGCCTTTGAGAGCTGCAGCTATTTTCGTAATGACTTTGCCGATCAAACAGTACGTAAACACCAAATTCATACTAGTTTGATTGACTACCAACATAGTTCTGATGTACATTTAGAGTAAAAGCTTTAACAGCCTGTCCACTTTTATCTGCACCCACAAGATTGTTTCCCCAACAAGCACACGGCATAGAAAACCCTCAGATAATCCAGATGGGCAAAAAAAAGATTGTAAAACGGCCATGAATGGGTTTGAGTTTAAACCTTCCGTATGCCCCTCGGAGTCATTCATAAATCCTGATGGTACAAGAATCTAAAACTGTACCATGTGTTAAATACACGAAAATTAAACGAAAATATCTTCAGCTTCACCCCACGGCTGTGGAGTAGCATCATGATTACACTGAGTAGGCTGATAAGCTTACAGTAAATAGAACCTGAACGCTTTTGTTGTCCTAGCAACAATCATTCTCATGATTCATGACAAGTCAGTAAATGCTGCCACCTACGCTAAAAAAACCACACCGAATCTCAGCACAAAACAATGGCTGCTGGCGGCTCAACGCCATCCCTCTTTGCGGGACCGCTTCAAAAGGCGAAGTGCCCTGACGGTCCAGCTCCCACACAAGAATGACTAAGTTTGTGAGCCAGAATCGTTCCTTAGAGGCAGCTGTGTGAGGGTTATGGGTTGAGGAGAGTTATCAGAGTGCTCATGTGCACAGAATTTTAAATGTTTTCATTTTTAAATATGACTATTAATCGCAAAGATGCAGCCTGCCATTGTCCGTGGTGGATACCGGATTTAGAAAACTGACAGAGTTTAAGATCAACTGGTCAAAAAAACTGTGAATATTATCAGAAAAGTTGATTGCGTGTAGGAAACTGGCAAAATGGTCAAGTGGGGTCATGAAGTAGGCCATCGATGCCACTTAGACTGCACCCGATTTTGATTTCTGCAGCAGAATTAATTGCATATTCATTTTTGTGAGTGCACCAAGTAATATCACGCTCCTCAAACAGTCCAGTGTTCTGACCAAGTCAGCATAAAGTATTGCGTTACAAATAAGATGTGAGATGATAAATAACGATTAGCATTCACAATAACACACACGAGCAAACAACAATATCGTTTGTTACAAAACAAGGCCTAAAGCATTCCAACATCTATTTTAATACAAAACTGAGGAAATATTCACTCATAAAATATTCACTGCTTTATAATGTAATAAAGCAGTACAATATGAAATCCAGTATGAACAGCGTTTACGTGTATAACATCTACAAAAAAATTAAAACATCACGCCAAAGCCACCATTTCTGTCATTATTAATGTTATATTTGCATCATTTGAGCTCATCCTATCTATGACTCAACTACACAGCTTTTGAAGACTGTTATTTAAATTTTTACACAGTTAATTCAACTGGAAAATTAAATGTTGTGTCGAATATACTTTAGTCAGTTCTTAATTGAGAGTTATGAGATTATTTTGTCTTTCTTTAAACACTGAATTATATTTCCACAAAAAAAACACTTCCAAGCAATCTACTATCTTACTAACCTCACCACAAAAGGTATGCATTGTCATTCTCTCCAGGATGCTATAATTTATACCACGAGACATTCAAAATGACTGCCAGCATGACTTCTATAAAAACGCAGTAAATAAACTACCACATCAAAACGAGAACAACAGGAAAAAAAAGTCGCGAACCACTTTTTCCAAAACTGCGGCCGATTCAGCTGAAGCAGTTAAACGAGTCTAGTGCACCATTTGAACCATGTCGTTCAACCACCGACCAAAATTATTAACCAGCTACGGACATTACTTTTATATCTCCCACCAATACGGAGGTTAAACCCTTGTTCCTCGTGAAACGGAGGCCAAGCTGTCCTCGCGGATGTCCATCTTTGCTGTTACCCAAACCTGCACTGCTGTATTGAATTCAGCACTTCCAGCAGAAGCGAATAAACCAGCTTAAAGAGACTTGGCCGTCTGCCACTTTGTATTTAAAATGTCATTGTATCTGGGATGCACAGTGCGCCACATCGATGCCAGACAGGGGCTGGGATTGGTCGCTTTTAGAGGAGAAATAACAGCCTGTGGAAAACTGCATCCAGGACGGAACCGCACTGGTGTCGCTATTGTGCTCGAAGGATAAAATGGCTGAAATCAAAGCGTACGTTTATGCTGGCTTTCATTTCTAAAGTCAATATTGGGTTATAAAACTATAAAGGTTAAAAATAAAGATGTATTCAGGGCTGCTGCAGAAACCTGCTTCGCTTTCATGTACATGCAGCCCTTTCACTTGCTTAATTTCCAATAAAACAGCCATTAAGTACAAGCAATTTATTTTCAGCTTCAGAAAAAAGCGAGAAACATATTTTTCATAAAGCAATAAGTGGAATATCAAATCTGTCGGTATTTCATTCGTCAACTCTTTATTTTGTGCACTTCACCTCTTCCATCGTTCCAATCTTAAAAGCGACCAGTTAAAGCTGTGTCCTTCCAACAGAAGATCTCCAAAGGACATTATGTTCTAACGTTCTCTAACGTTCACACAAGCCACTGCCTGAACACACCTTACCGCCTTCAAAGGTCTCTCTGAGCATCTGAAACGGCTAAAGGAGATATTTCTGAGATTAGATATAAGACCATTCATTTGCATAAGGAAGGAGAACATAAACGAGTTTTCAGAACTGGAGATCCAAAAATGATTAACAGATACAGAGGAAATGGGACTCCTAACAACCGTGCAAGACCTGGTAGCCACCAAAACTGTCCCCATCAGATAAACAGCACTTAAAGCTTTCATCTCTGAGAGAGAGGAGAAAATCAAGCTGCTTCAGATCTGAAAACATCCACAGGTGTTTCTGTCCATCCTTCCACTGTGAGAAGACGACTCAGCGCTGTGGGTCTGAAAGGATGTGTAGCTGTCTAGAAGCCTCAGTGATAGAACACTAGAACACTGAAGATGTGGAGTAGGACAGTAATACAGTATACCGCAGGATGTAAAAATGACATTTTAAAAATATGACAGTATTTCAAAATTATGAGGGGTCAAATTTCTATTCCACGTCTGAACGGAAAAATAAACACATTCCAGCCGTTTATATTTTAGAGGGCTCACCGATTGGTGGTGTGGGCACTCACTTATAGGTGGCGCTAACAGAAAAAGAGGGAAAATAAGAGCCAGGAAAAGCCTCAAAAAGCCTCATGAGAGGCAGAAAATGCAACCAACTTCTAAGACTGAACTTCAGAGGACACACTAAACACTGAAATCATAGACATTAACTTAGTTGTTGAGGCTTCTAAATAAAAGTAAAAAAATTAATTATAATTTAAATTATATAATAAATTAAAAGTATGCTTTTAACTTCCTTTTTATTTTTTTTGTGTTGTACTTTATATTTGCTGATGCCAACACTGATACATAAACATTTATAAAACGCAGAAATTCATACTAAATATACTGGGTTTTACATTACATTTGAACACAGTAATTCTGGAGAAAAAGACATCAAACATATATAAAAATATCAGTCAAATCAAAAGACAATAATATTTTTAAAGCAAATATCTGTCGATACTGATACTATTCCAAGATAATTGTGCGGACTTAATAATTATTATATGGATTTTGAACCATCAAACATAAACAAACTAGTAAAGGTGGGCGATGTGGCACAAATACCACAAGATATTTTCATGATTTCTTATTTCTTATTTCTTATTTCTCGGGTTTTTTTCTAAAATTTTTGCAAACAAATTTCAAACGGACATAATAAGCAAAACTGTAGTGACACAGATGCTATGAGATCTTATGAACAATGTTTTTTCAATCAACAATTGCAAAAATAACCTATTTAAAATGGAACAAGTGGAAAAGTCCAAACAATTGAAAATGTGATAATGTTGTCCAATCTGTTACAATGACCTTCATGCGTTTACTTAATCTGTCAGGTGTTGTTTTTCAGACCTAAATCTGTCTTTTTATGATACATAAAGTTGTTCAGTGTACTAGAAGTGCAGACTATTTCCATTACATACTCAGAAAACGTATAATAAGTTTATCACAATAACGTACGGCCAAACGGGCCACTCCTACGCTTCTCCAACTTTTTGGCAAGTGCTACAGACCGATCCACTGAGATTAAATAACTGCAAGACTTCTTTTTCCATCTTCATAATAAAGACGTTACTGTATTTCAGAAGAATGTGTAAGCTCACTTAGGACCTCAGTACTCTCAGCATGTGGATCCTTTTCAGCACATAGCACTGTTGGCACAAACACAGAGCTCCTAGTCACTTCCACTGATATTCAAATGTCCATAAAATCTAAGCCTTCATAACAACATGACATCATCAAATAACTCTGCCCTGGTGCGGTTGTAAATGGGTCTAAGTCAAGTTGCTGCTGGAGAATCCTTAACAGCGTGCAGGGCCTGATCTAATTTTACGTTGTCTGTAACCTTCATTCCCATGACGTAACCTGGGAACCCAGCACATGGTAGCCAAAAAAAACCAAAAAAAAAACAAACAACGCTTTAACTGCACTTACGCCACTTCTACTTCTTCTTTAGGAATATTTAACTGGAGGTTTCTACGCAATTGGACATTGGGACGTTTTATGATATTTTAATGTAATGAATTTCAAACATTTTCGGGTATTAATATGAGGATTTCTAACACTTGAATGAACAATTTTCTGTGTTACGTAGAACTTTTGCTCTAAAAACACACTTTGCCTACGTGTGTTACCTGTTTCAACACTTTTTGTGTCGTATTGTTTTCTGATTTAACACATTCTGCATTAAACGCAACACAAAATGTGTTATCTGTAAGTGGGCTCTGAAATATTTTAACACATTATATGAAAAAAGTAACTCAAAATGTGTCATCTGGAAACTGAACACACTGTTGTGTCTAGGTAGAGACGGGATCTGTTGTTTTTCAACACATCTTTTTTTTAGAACGTAGTTCTAAACCTCTGTATAATTAAATTATTAAGATGTAAACAAAGTTGTTCAGTGTGGTTTGATGAGAAATGCGTTGTAGAGAAACTCGCTAAGTCAGAATTGTCCACAGTGCCGGTGAGAGGAACCAGACATCTGAACTTTGTACACCACATGGGTTTGTCTACATCTCCTGATGTCTGAGACACCGTTTTACGAGAGTTCTGAGATTAGCTTTTGGCCTAAAGAGTATTTTTAAAAATACATTAATAATGGAGAGGTACACTGAGTGTCCTAATGCAAATCAGTACCCAAAAAATTGGTTTTCCAAATTTACCACTATAACATTACATTTAAACTCACATGTAAGGTCACTGGTTGTTTTGGACGGTAAATAAAACAGCTATATTTGTGTTGAGATGCTTGGTTCCTATCACCACCACTGTAAATGAAAATCTCAGTACGTTTCTCTACAACGAACCATTTCACATCAAACCCGCCTGAACGACTTTGTTTACATCTCAACAACTGAATTAAACAGAACTTTTGAAAATTGTGAGATTGTGTTTATCTTGTGTACATGGCTGTATATCATTTTGTAATGCCTAAGCTGGGGTCAAATACAGCCATCAAATATTCATTATGAGAAAAATATGAAAGGCAACTATGAATAGATAATCATGCCAATGCGCTTCCGGGTGGTGATGTAACACTAGAAGTGTTGGAGGTCACAAGAATGTGAACATACATTTCTGCGTACTACAGAGAGACATTCAGAAAAATCATATTTTATTGACTACAACTGTCCAATCCTCATATCAAGACCAATCCAAACATAATTTCTCTCATGTGTGTGAACTCCACCTCTGAATTGGGGTTGAACAATAAATTATTTATCACTGCAATGACAAAAGAGAGCAATATCAAACGGGACCTCTACTATCATAGTTTCAGACGAGTGTTTCTGTGGGCGATCTGAAGAAGGCACTCGTGTAATCCAACAAAAGTAAATTATTTTGGTAAAGCTAATCTTCAACTGTGTCAAATTATTGATTCACCAATACATTATTAATATATTGCAATGGCTATTGCAATACACAGCTGTAGGCAGGTCAAATTACACGTGGTGGAAAATAAATCAAACATCCTCAACAAGAAACAAACTTAAACATGACATTTTCCTGCAAACTTTAGTGCATAATTTCTATTTATTTCTCGAACATATTGGAAGACATACTGTTTACTACTAGAACTGCAGTACTACTTTTATTGACCTTATCAATTCTCCAATGTCCACAAACATATTCAGTACTGACTTCTTTAAAAGCAAAATCTTAGGCTTCATCACTGATAATTATCTGTAAGTAAAACTCACCAGAGCAATATAACACTTCATCTCTCTTCCCCTCCGCTCTTTTAGAAAAAACTGCCATCGCCACGAGAATAAGGCCAATCCATGGTGCCATAGTGGTCTCCTAGGGAGGAAACAGATGTAGACGTTTGACTAAAAATCTAATTGAACCACCAACTAAAACATGTCTGGTGTCTGAAGTTGGTTACTTTAGTTTTGCGGTGAGAAGCTAACAAGTAATGAGAGCTTACATGCCAGCAACTCCAAACTGTGTGAATTTGACACCAAAATAAATGTCTGCTCACGTCCTTAAACCACATCAGACCAGGTCAAGTTACAGGAAAGATTTTAAGATTTTGCTGAGAACGGCCTGGAGCGTTTTCCCTGTATGAACTTTTACATTTAAGCACTGCCACACCTGCAGAAAGTGATACTCTGATGATATTCAGATCGTATTAAAACCATGAAGGCCAACTAATGGCTTCAACTACCTTGCAATAGTGTTAAATCAGATTGTGAGCAAACTTGGGCAGAAAAATCCTGCACTGCTTACATCCATATAAACACTAAGTCCTTGCAGTGCAATCAGACATGCTAACATGGCTAACAGTGAACAGAAGCTATAACCACTCTTTAGCATGGTGCTATTTGCATAAGGCTAACTGGTGGCCACTCATTTTCATTCGTTGTTGGATATGTTGCAAATTAGGCACTCAAAATGGAACTGGAGACAGTATCTTAACTGTTTCAAACAGCATAACCGCAGATATTGTAACAGAACATGTGGATAATTTAAGAGGAAAATCAGAAAATGTACACTTTAGCATCAGCATAAAGAAAGTATGACAGTTTAGTATAAGGAAAATGCATTTTGTTCATGTTTTATTTGCTTGTATTTAAGACAAACTGCTCTAAATCGTGGATTTTCTGCTTAATTCCCATCTTGCAGACATTAAAAGTGTGGCAGGAGCTATAATATGTTTCATATGGTGATGCATTTAAAGGAAAATTCCACTGATTTTTCAAAAAAATCTACATAATTAAACGGTTGAGATGTTAACAAAGTCATTCAGAGTGGTTTGGTGTAAAACGCTTCGCTGCAGAGAAACTTACAGAGTCAGAACTGTTCACAGTGGTGGTGATAGGAACCAGACGTCCACCTCTAAAAGCTGCTTGATATCTGAGACGTGTTTTATGATAAACATCTTGCCCTAAAACATATTCTAATCTCTTTTTTTGGTGGAGGGATACATGAAGGGTGTTCTGAGGCAAAATAGTCCTCAAAGAATTTTTTTTTTCTTCAGCTTTGCTACTATTTTACCATCACCAACATTACTCATGTAGGTTCACTGGTGGTTTGGATGGTAAATAAAATGGCTATATCTGTGTTGCAGACATGACGACCTCTGGTTCCTATCAGCACCGCTGTAAAGATATCTCCAGAGTCTCTACAAATGAACCATCTCAGGTCGAACCACTGTGAATGACTGTTTACATCTCAAAGACCGAACTCCTCAGAAATTTTTAAAAACGGGTGGAATGCCCCTTTACCAACACGTGGTTCCCCATCATGGCTGCTATCACTTACAATGATTAGCCACGTTCATTTCACCTCACTGAGGGGTCTCCAGAGGCAGAAGTTAGAAAAGTTTTAGATGAACTGGCGCCCCCAGTTGTTCGTCACCTACAGAAACACGTAAGGCGCTTTAACTCAGCAGTGGCCTGTTTTGTCCGTGTATTGTCTGGAAATTGTTCAGTGTACTTGCTTACTGCGTTATAAATGAAGCTACAGCTCAATCTTGGTTAAAAACAGGGGGTGAACATTAGGAGTATGGAGGACTAGCTGTAATTTGGCGTCGAACATATTTGCCTTATTTGACATATTGTTGGTGAACATGTCCTTTATAGAGGAATAACGTTAGTCTTCATACATTTCCTACCTTTAACCTCAGTGACTCTACAGGCGAGTTGTTCGTCTAACCTTAGCGGCGTTTCTGATACACATTCAGGTTTCCTGGCCGAACAGGTGAGCAAGATCAATAACCAACTTCTCATTCATCTGTTAGCTAATAAGACTGCCCTGCCGAACCGACCAGACATTACACCTCGCCGGAGAACCTATAATCATATCCCATTTTACACCTTAAAGTGCTATGAAGCGTTCAGTGCTCCCAGTTGAGGATTGGTGGTGGTGTTGTTGTTGTTGTCTTACCTGACGCGCTACGTGAGGGTAAACAACAGCAGGTGAGCGGAGGGAAAACTTTTCGGCTCGAAAACGTGAGCGATGAAAACGAACTGAAACACGGAGCACAACCACAGCTACCGGCCGAGATAATAAGGTCCCGTCTTTGTTCTTGCTGTGTTACTGAAACAAGAAAGACAACTTCTCTGTGGAGATATTGCAGGCCACTTACGTGCCGGTCTGTGGCGCTGCCACGACCAGCGAGCCCGCCCACAGCACGGAAGATTGACAGGGACAGCAGCCAATGGCGTAGCGCTCTGTAAATCTGCGACCAATTAGAACACCGACTGCACAAGCGCCGCGTACCCGGATGGACGGGTTTCCAGACACTACAGTTATGTGGTTTTGCGCAGTCATGTACAGAGATAGTAACACGTAAGAGTCAGGAGACTGCGTGGTGGAGGAAACTGATCAAGGATAATAATAATAGGTAAAGGTATATACATGCATGTAGACATATTTAAAATGGCTATGTTTTATTCTTATCTTTATTATTATTATCAGCATCATTTATTATTATTATTATTATTATTATTATAGCGACGGCACAGAATAAGACCCCAGCCAGGTTCTCCTTAGGAAAATGCTCTTAATTGCAAAAGCTGGCAGAGGAAACTGACTCATTGGGGAAAACTAAGGACGGGTCATCAAAAGGCAAACATAACCCAATGATGGTAAACACTTCCAGTGCGCTAATTAGCTGAAAAGGACACAATTTATTACAACTATAACACTCACACATCTCACCATTAAAACAACAACATTTAACATGCACCATGTTCCTTACGGCACCAGCTGCTCCCACATGCGGTGCAGTATCTTGTCATGCATCCAGAGGCTGTCCCAGCTGGCATGGAGCACTTTAGTGGTGGGCCCGTGTGGCGATACATCTGCCTAAGCTGGTTTCTGTTTCACCTGGAGCCATCTGCATGCCCAAGAGAGCACCACTTCCACTTCCTGGCCACAGTGGAACTCTTCACAGATCACAGCCTCAAGTCCGATGCTACTAGGGGCAGTGACAGCAGCAGCAGCACTCCTCTCAACCACCTTCTGCCTTGTCGTCAACTGTGTCGTCGATGCTGGTGAGGGTGCTGCTTGTGTACGCTGTCCCACGGCCTCCGGGATCCATCCACCGGTGCTGGTGCTGCGTGTTTAGCCCCTCCAGCATTGGTGGCTTCACTCGTGACAAGCTGTGGCACCCTCGACCTGACAGCATGCCCTGCCTCCAGGGATCCGCCAACCGGCTCTGATGCTGCATGCTAAGCTCTTCCAGAGCCAGCAGCTTTCCCCACGGGGAACGAAGGCCTCGGTGCAGCGAGCAAGCCTAGCCACGCTGTTTCCTTTGCTGTTGTCCCCAGCCAGCAGCTTTACTCTTAACCTGTCTGGGAAGGGGTAGGCGTAGTGCTAGGTAATCCTTTCTCCAGGCTGTGTGTTCTTCACTGTCTGCCTTCAAGTTTGCTGAGTTACCGTTCAATTTCTTCAAGCTCAGTGGCCGTATCCCACTTCTGGCACTAATGTAGCATTGGCCCAGGAGAAGACCTGGAGTCTGCCATTTTCTCTCCAGGAAAATGCTCTTTATAGAAACTGCAGGCAGAGAGGGAAACTAATTCATGGGGGGACACCAGGAACAGGTCATCAAAAGGCCAGCCTAATACAATGATGGTAAACCCTTCCAGCATGCTAATAAGTGGAAAAAGACATGATTTACCACATCTCAACTTTATAATAACAAAACGTAACACATTCAATTTTAACTAGAAAATGGCTGCAGAGAGGTGCACAGCATTCTGGGAGTCCGCTACATGCTCCTCTCTTCTCTCCCATTTGTCCCAAAGTCATACGACTGGTGGTGGCGCCACATTATTAAAGGGACACTCCAGACAAAATGAAAAAGCATTTCTACATCTGTGCCTACTCGCATCTTACAGTGATGCTGCAGTATTCTCTAGAGCAGTCTTTCTCAACCCTGGTCCTGGAGGCACACTGTCCTGCAGTTTTTAGCGTTTCCCAGCTCCCAACACACCAGATCAAACTAATTAGCTCATTAACAGTCCATTATTGTGTTAAAGTGGCAGGAAAGGCATTAAAATGTGCAGGACAGAGGGCCTTTACGAACAGAACAAAGAAACACTGAGATTTTCCAGTTTAAAGACTGGGGAAAACCCCCTTCTGATGATGTATCTTGAAAATGGGAGAAACACTACTACATAGTCTTTAGTGCAGATACTTGAGGACAAGCTGTTTATTTTATTTTTTTATCCTTGCTAATGCAGAACAAAGGCAGATAGGTAACACTGTATTGGTCTGTAATTTTTAGCCTATAAATATTGCATAATATAAATATAATATAAATAAAATGTACATATTGCATAATATAAATATGGTATAAATATTACATAACATGACAAATAATAAATGTTAATTTAATCTACCTGGAGATTTGAGCTCCACTTTTAAAATATGATAAATTCAGCATATTAATTTTATCTTACCTTGGTATTCAGTGCTATACAACTTTATCATTCAGGACACATAAAAAAATTTCTTAACTTTATAAACACATTTCAAAAAAGTTTGGACGGGGCAACAAAAGGCAAAAAGTTATGTAATGCTACTATGAAATGCTAATGCTGAAACATCTCACAGATAATTAATTGGCAAGAGGTCAGTAACATGATTGGTCTGAAAAGGGCATCCCAGAGAGGCTGAGTCTTTCAGAAGTAAAGATGGGGAGGAGTTCACCACTCTGAGAAAGACTGCAGGGGAAAATAGTGCAAAAATTTGAAAATAATGTGTCTGAACGTAAAATAGCAAAGAACTTGAGGATCTCATTATCTACTGCATATAACATCATTAAAATATTCAGAGGATCCAGAGAAACCTCTATGTAAGTGACAGGGCTGAAAACCAATATTGGCTGGCTGTGATCTTTTGGTTCTGAGGTGGCACTGCATTAGAAACAGACACAAATCACTGCATGGGCTCAGGAGCACTTCTGAACACCACTGTCTGTGAACACAGTTCATTACTGCATGCACAAATGCAGGTTTAAACTCTACCATGCAAAGAGGAAACCATATACAAACAGGATCCAGAAATGCTGCCGCCTTCTCTGGGCCCAAGCTTTTTTATGATGGACTGAGGGGAAGTGGAAAAGCGTCCTGTGGTATGACTAATAAAATTTTGAAATTCGATTTGGAAATCATGGACACTGCATCATCTGGGCTGAAGAGAAGAGGGACCATCCAGCATGTTATGAGCACACAGTTCATTTTCAATTAAATATAGGGTTTAAATGATTTGCACCTCATTGCATTCTGTTTTATTTACATATTCCACAGCATCCCAAAATTTTTGTGCATAGGGTTATAAAATAAACGAAAGATGACAGCTGCATCCAAAACTGCGTACTACCATAATAAATAGTATGTCAAAAATAATACACTACAAATACACAATACTACAAATATGTTTTTCAAGGGTTCTTTAGTAAAGAAAATGGTTTTATATGAAACCATGAACACTCAAATAACCCCTAACATGAATAAAGGGTTCTTGAGACCGACGGAGAATGTGCTGTGGATGGTTCTACATAGCACCAAAAAGGGTTCGAGCTTGGTTCAATCTCGACATCGTATCAATAGCGGAACCCTTTTTGGTGCTACATAGAATGGTCTACAGCACGTTCTCAATCTGAAGAACACTTTCACGATCATCCAATCATGCTAAGCGTTCTTTGGGTGTTCATGGTTCTATATATTCAACCAATTTCTTTACTAAAGAACCCTTGAAGAACCATCGTTCATTTGTTAGTGTAGTAGCTAGTATAGTAGTATGCGGTTTTGGACGCAGCCTGCATTTTACAGTCTGTTTAACGCAGAACGCTCAGCCAGCTCCCACACCTGCTATAATTTACCACAGCCAGTTTGATTTCACTCCTTATTCCTCTTCTTGTCCTTTTTAGCCTTACATCACTGAAAAATGGCAGTGCGAACCGCGGCCAAGTTATTCTTGCATGTTTCCAGTTCGTGTCACAAAGTCAAAGGTAATTTACCTCAGGTTAACGTTAGCCTAGCGCGTGTTTGCTAATGTGCCTTTCCCCAGTTTAGAGCCAGTTAACGGCTTAACACACGACGAATTTGGCCGCAGTGTTGCTGCTACATAAGTAATGTCTCGAACCGAACCGCTTTTAGATGATTAAGACAAGTAACTGTAGGTTTTTTGTAGGTTAAGTAGCGAATTTCGGCAAATTTGGCTAGGCTGATTAGCTAGCTAGCGCTTTTCTAGCAGTGCTTCGAAAACGTATTAGTCACTAAAAGTTTGGTCATTTTAAATCCACATTTCTCGGTTATCTTCTTATTATTGGCACATTTCAAGTCAGTATAGTTAATATCGTCTTAAAGACATATTAGCCACATGATCAACGAGCACTTCTGCATAGTTTAAGTTATGTGCTTAAAGGGGAATTCCAGCGATTTTTCAAAAATTCCGAATTTTTCAGTTCTTGAGATGTTAAGATACAGGCAGTATCAATTATAGTCGTTTGATTGAGAAATTCTCCATTCTAGAGAAACAGAATCAGAATTGTTCACAGCGATTATAATTGGAACTTGACGTCTAAAGAGTTTCATGCTCCTAAAAGTTTTCCTAGATTATTATTTTGATATATTAAAGAGCAATTCCACCAATATATAAAAATTTCTGCGTAATGCAGCTGTTCAGGTGTAAACAGAGTCATTCAGAGTGGTTTGATGTGAAATGGTTCGTTGTACAGAAATATACCGACTTGGATTTCTTAACAGTGATGGGTTTTAAATATGATGTCAATGATGGTAAAATAGCTGTTAATCTGAAACAAAAATGTTATTTTTTAGGGTATTTATTTAGGGAATTTAAAAATATGTTTAGGCCAAAAACATATGCCCAAAACTATTGTAAAAACAATATCTCAGGCAGCAGGCAAGGCCTTCGTAACCATTTTTAAGTAGTAACCTTTTGTAAGATAACTTTTATGGGCAATAATCTCTGTAGGCTTCTGGTTCCTATCACCATCGCTGTGAACAACTCTGACTCATTTTTATAAAACCACTCTGAATGACTTTGTTTACATCTTAATGACTGAAAGTAAAAAGGTGGAATTCCCAATTAATATGCTAAAAAGAATCTCTGCATTAAAGGGTCATCTTTTTGGCAGCTGTCTGTGTCTATGACCAGTAATT